TACTAGGGATTGCGTCCGTAACGTTACGTATGTTTTTTCTCCTTGTGTCCCATGGAGCCGTAAATACACACGTAACGGTATTACTATTTTTTATTTAACAAATTATAATTGTTATTTGTATTTTATTCATAAGAAACTACAGAATATATTATAATTTAACAAAATTTTAATTAAATCGTCAAATTTAGTTAAATAATAAATTAAAAAAAGCATTACTAGTAATAACTAGTAACTTTTAGTAACTTTTACGGAAATTTCATGGAATTACGGCTCCATGGGACACAAGGAGATAAAACACACGTAACGTTACGGACGCAATCCCTAGTAACTTTTGCGGACTTTCGGTGCGGATTACGGATTACGGGTTCTATGTGACGCCGGCCTAAGACGATTTTAAATATAAGAACGGACTATGAATACCGCCCTTAGACTCAGTCCCTCTATTCCTTAGTCCGTGGCTCCGTTCCTCTATTCCTTAGTCCGTGGTGTCCACTCTCAGTCTTCTCTCTGCTAGTAGTGAATTTCGGAACGGAGCCATTGTGGCTATGTCATACACGTTATACATTATAAAAGTTGTGTGCTTATATGTAATTATGGCATTTGTGAAATAGTTTTTCTTTCATTGTAATTACAAAAATCGTGTAATTTATTAATATATTACGTGAATAATAACAATGTCAATGGAGACCGTACCGAAAGATTTGCGTGGATTAAGGGCATGTTTAGTATGTTCTTTGGTTAAGGTATGTAATTATTGTTTATTCCATAAATATATACATTTTGCATATAACAAATTAAATTTTTTCGAATAAGCTGATTGCAATGCATACAGAAATTAGTCATGCTTGTAAAATAATTGCATTTATGTTTTTCCACAGACCTTTGATCAATTTGAGTTCGATGGATGTGATAACTGTGATGAATTTTTACGTATGAAAAACAATAAGGATAATGTTTTCGATTGTACAAGTTCAAATTTTGATGGGTAATATATAATAATAAGTATATAATTTTTGTTTAAGAGTAATTTTTAAAGTACATAGAAGTTTTTTAAATTTAATCTGTGTGAAAGTTATTAAGATTTATATGCTAGATATCTGATATCAATGTGTTGTTGATAAGATCTTCAAATTTTATTTTTTTATTTCTTTCACATACTATACTCACCAGTGTAAAATTCGATTCATCGACAATTTTTAGCAAAATTATTTCTTTAAGGAACACAGTCAAATCTGCGTAATTATCATATGAATAGAAATAAACTACATTTTAGTCCAAATAATCATGATTAATTTTGCCAAAAAACAATTACGCTAAAAAAAATATCTCCTAATTAGATAAAATAAATTTAAGCATATCAAATTTTGTGCTGATGAGTGTATATATATATATTATTCCTTATTTTAATAATTTTAAATATTAAAAATGTTGCAACTTGATTAATAATTCTAAAAAACAAAATTAATTATTTTATTATATATTTTTGCTTTTTAGAATGATTGCTGTAATGAGTCCAGAAGATAGCTGGGTATGCAAATGGCAAAGAATAAGTGAGTATTTTAGATGCAATAATATTTGGCAACAATAATTTATTTTGTATTTTAATAATAATTGTTCTTTTATATCTTATTATTGTGATTTTTATTCTACAATATTTTTTTAAAATCTTATCTCAAAAATCATTCTAACATTCTTTAAATTTATCTAGTAAAATAAAATCTAAAAAAACTAATATATAATCTAAATATCTAAAAAAACTAATATATATGTCATTTATAATGTATGGTTATCAGAGTTATTTACAATGTACATTTAGAAATAATAAATATATATTGTCACTTACATTTTCATTTTTAAATAGATAATATATTTATATAGACATATTTTTACAAATAAACATAGATATATATTTACTGAGGAACATGCTTATGTGCGTACAAACAATTCTTTATTAACTTATTGTTAAGATCTATTGAAATAATATACAAACAGTACATAATCATTCTTTTAAAATCAAAATTTTATTACAATCAAAGTATGTTAATTATGGCTAATAGAGATTATATTTATTTTTCAGATCGTTTCTGCAAAGGTGTTTATGCCATATCAGTATCAGGACGATTACCAGCTGGTGTCATTAGAGAAATGAAAAGCAGAGGAATAGTTTATAGGCCGCGTGATACAAGTCAACGTTAATTATAGAAATTTTTGTGTAATATTTTGATAAGATAATATTGAATTCTTTTCTTAATGTTTTGCGTTATAATTAATTCATTTCTTCATTTTGTATTAATAGATTAATATATATATATAT